ATCAATAGCTAGGCTATCCACCAAGGAAAAAATGAAAAAAAAATGTATTGTAAAGAAATAACATTCTGCGAAGAAAAAAGGGCAATTGGGAAGGTCAATGTTTAGATAACATCACATTGCTTACACCAGAGAAAATGGGAATATACAAATATTGGCACACATATGACATTTATTACCTGAAAGTGTGTTCATATATGTAAAATTTGGTCAGCTGAAAAGGCTGATGTTCCAGAAAAATGGATTAATTTGGTTAAGAAAATGTATCCAGAATTACTGAAACGTATATCGAAATTAGAAGGAAAATTACCCAAAGAATTGAAATTAACAAAGGCTGTAGTTTATCGCCTTTTGTCTTTAATATATAAGTGGAGCAAGTTTTAGAAACTTTGTACAAGAAATGTTCTCAAATGGGAGTTTTATAAATAATAGGTTCTTACATTCTCTACTTTTCGCTGATGATGAGGTCATTATGGTATCGGATTGGGATGCTATGAAGTTTATGCTTAGGAATTTAAAAGAAGAATACGAAAAATTGGGGCTTAATATCAACCATATAAAGACCGTATATTTATGCATCGGAGGAGATGCCTCTAATATTAAAGTTGCTGATGACGAAATAGCCAACTGTTCAAAATTTCAATATCAGAAGACTATAATTATTGACGATGGTAAAATTGATGAAGATATGACCATCAGACTCGCAATGGACAGAAACGCAATCACGCAATGTTATCTACATGGACTTATATGAAATAGTGTATTAAGACACAAAGAGGAGAATGTTCCACAGTGTACTGGAAAATATATTATATGGCGCAGAAATGTGGTCTCTAACAAAACGTTGTACAGAAAACGGTCAGTAAAACTCGACTTTATAAGAAGATCTTTGCAGATAATAAGGCCGGAGAAGATACGAAGCGACGTGGAAAAGAGCTGGGATAACCAGAAGACTAGAAAATAAAGCTCTTCAATGGCATGGACACGTCCAAAGGAGGCAAAATGAGAGATGGCCAAAGCGAATTTTAAATTGGATACATGAACGAAGACGTAGAAGAGGCGGACCTGTTTTAACCTGGAGGGCCTATATGCAGGAAGTGATGAAGGAGAAAGGATTAAAAGAAGGTCAATGAGAGGACCGAAAAAAATGGAAATCGAAAACGGAAAACTCGTAGAGGTAGAAATTGCCAAAGAAAAAACTTTTTTTGAGAAGACGTAAGTAAATCATAGCCAAAGCAGCATTGGCAAGTGAGGTTATATTTGACAAACAAAGAGTAACATAAAGATCCAGTAGAAACAGGCACATTACTCGCTTAAAAAAATTAAGGTTAGATGAACCACACGATTTAAAAAAAGCTTATTGACCTGACACATTTTGTGAGATTTTGGATTGATGGTGTCATTACCAAACAAGATCTCATAATGAGAAGGACGGGACCCGATGAAATATTACTAAAATTAATATTGAATACTTGAAAATAAATCTATAACAAAGAACTCTGAAGTTTCAAACCTGAAATATAACTTAACACTAAAAAATATCCGCACCTTTTAATGAATCCATTTCATTTGGTTTAAAATAGCATTGCGATTTATAGTTGACAGTCTATTTCTTGACGCCTGGCGGCCTACCTTCACGATGGAAATACTCACGGAATTTCGCGTCTTTCTTAGTCATGCAGCTAGATGTTACATGATCGCGGCCGTATAGAGCATGAATGCCGGCCGTATGAGCTGAGAAATATGCGAAATACCGTGAGATATTCTATCGTGATGACAGACTCTCACGCGCCAAGAAATAAAAAAAAAATCAAGTTCAGTCTCTGGGAAAGGTCTTACGGTGACGAAACATTTATTTGTTGTGAAATAAATTATTCCAGTATTGGGTAATCGTAATGGTTACAGTTCCTTGCATTGTGAGAAGTGTGTCGGAAATTCGCACCCATATTTGCCATGTCACGATTTCATTCACTTCGGGCACGTAATGACCGGCAAGGAAACTCGTCACATCTAATCAATACTCTTTCGCTCTGTCCCATCCGCAGGAAAGAGCGCTGTGGTTGGCTGCAATGAATATGGGTAATTTCGCTTCTTCTCACGTGATGTGGGAACGGAACGGGCATAGATGTTTGTGTACGAAGCTAGTAATTTCCTTCTCAAATCAACTAAATTTTCATCATATGGTTCTATATCACTTTTTGTACGCTTTTTCAAAATATTACATAGTTTTCGCTTGTTTTGAGTGAACTTGTAACATTTTTTCAAAAAATCATGATCACGGATATCAAAAAACGGCCCCCTGTTTGTTCTTTATCCTTTTAGTTACACATTGTCTTGTGGCCACAAGAGCTATTTTTAACAAAACTTTTGAATTTTCAAAAATGAAAATTTTCATTTTTAACAAATTACATTTAATATTTATTTTTTGAGCGTTTTATAACTTGACGTTGTTTTTTTCATTTGTGGGCTTTTGGGGAGGATGACCTGTGTCTTCGTCATATTACAAACATTTATACGCCTTGTAATCATATTCCACATCCCCTATTTCGTACTAATAATTAAGCAAGGCTAATAATTTTTTTTTACTAGGTATACACGGAGTAATATACGTAGTATAGGGAAAGTTAGGAAATTCTGCGTGAAAAAACAGCGGATTTTGGACAGAAAAAATTCATTGCCGGGCCCTCATAACGAAAAAGTGGATTGATACAGTTGCGAAATTAAGAAAAAAAATAACTAACACTTGGTGTAGCCAGAATCCCTGTTTCGTGCACCTTGGTACCGAAAAATCAATTGACGGCCAAACGTCCGTCCGTCTGTGAACACAACTGGTGCCTAAACCATACTAACGATTTTTTCCAAAAAGGATACTGCCCGGACGATTTGGATCCACTCAAGGCGCCGCGATTTTGAAAAACTTCCTTCAAAATTTGGGGCTACTTTACATGAAGCCCTCCGAATAATTTCAAAATTTTTTCTTTAAATTTCTTGTAAGGGTAGAGTAAAATACACTTATAAAGGTAGCATGGAACCGATTTTCCCCGTTAAGTCTAAATTTTAAAAGTTTACATTTTCCGCGTCTTTCTACAACTAGAAAATTAAAAAGGTTTTCCCTGCATATAAATTTGTTGTCCATTGTGAGTTTTTTCATGAAGGCCATGAACAGATTTTTGAAAATTTTAGTAGTTTTCATGCAATACTGCGTGCAATATTTGCAATTAAAAAAATCACAAAAACAAGATTTTCGCAAACAGGGCTGTTTTTGCAAATTTTGAAAATTTTTACAAAACACTTCAACACTTCAAAAATTAGAGAGTAAGTTTTTTACGTCTTTTCATGCGTTTTATTTGGGTGGAATGCCCACTCAACGTTAAATTAGCGCACCCTCTCTTTAAAGTTGTATATTTTGATGTGCAGTGGTTCAAAATTTTTAAATCTGAGTATAAATTAGTTCTTAATTAGAAAAAAAATTGGGTAATTTTTTTGTTTAATGCGTTTGTCTAGTGTTAAAATGCTAACTTAACGTTAACTTAGCGTACCCTCTCTTTCGTATTATACAGGGTGCGCCAGAGAAACTTACTTATTTGAAAGGTCAATAAAAACAAAAATACTTTCAGTTATTGTTTTACATTTTGTTATTTGAGAATACAATATCCAATTTTTTTCATGCAGTCTTGAAAATGACTCGGATAAATGGCGACCTCCATTGCGCATACACTGATGAAGACAATTTTTGAATTTCGTATCCACTCTTTGCAGCATATCTAATTCGGTATGTTCAATGGCGTCGCGAATGTTTTCAGATGTGCTATGGTCCGTGGTCGATCGACATAAACCAGGGATTTCAAATAACCCCATAAAAGAAATCGCATGGAGTCAAATCTGGGAGCGTCCGCCATTGGAAACGCCTCTGAGAGAGATGAGGCGTCGCGGAAATGTCGCAACAAAATTCATTGTTGTCTCGTGCTGTGTGCTGTGGCTCCATCTTGCTGAAACCACACGCCTAACGTTCATTTCTTCGAGTCTTGGAGAAAAAAATCCTCGATCATGTTCCTGTTAAGAGCTCCATTCACGGTAAATGCGCGTTCGCTTTCTTCAAAAAATAAGGACCAATTATTCCTCATTACCGACATCGCACACAGACAGTTAACTCGCTCACAATTAGTGGCTTCTGGTGAAGCTCACGCGGATTTACACCACAACCATAACGCAATTTTTCTTGTTGACGCAGCCGAAATGTGGAAGTGAGCCTCGTCACTGAAAAAAACACACGCGTCTTCAGGCAGGTTGTCAATCAGCATTTCACATGCATTGACGGGCAACAAAATCGCGTTCAGTTAATTATTGCACAACAGCCAGTTTGTAGGGATGAAATTGAAGGTCTTCATGCAGAATTCGCTCGACATGTGGTGTCAGAAATTTCCATAGCAGCCTGCGTGTTGCGAGCCGAACGTCGGGAGAACGCACAACTGACTGCCTCACTCTTCGATATTTTCCGGGTTCTGATGGTCGTTTGAAGTCCATTTCTGTTTTAGCGACACTTCCACGACTCCCGAAATGAGTTAACCCACGACAAGAATCAATTACGGCCAGAACGAGTCTGTGAGGAGGAATTTCAAAGCGAGCGCGGAAGCACGTTGCGTAGCAACAAGTGAGCGACCGTTAGAAAAGAAGCTCTCGACTGCGAAGGCCCGCTGCTCTCTAGTCCACAGCATGATGGCAACTGACTGGATGGAGAAAAAAACTTGGGAACTTCCCCCTCCAGATACGCCTCCTCTCGCCCCTCTAAACGCCCAACTCACCGCGCGGGAATTTTTCAAATAAGTAAGTTTCTCTGGCGCACCTGTATATTTTGATGTTCTGCATTGGTAGAACATCTTTTAATTTAGGTACGAATTACTTCTTAATTAAAACAAAATTCTGGTATACTCTTTTTCAATTTTGTAATAAGCTATATGCTAACTTTGCGGACATTTTGTTGAGCGTTTGTGTTTTGGTCGCAGATGGCGGCGGAGCAGGCGCGCAGCGAGGCCGAGGGGGACGTGCTGCCGTGGACGGTGGCCGAGTTCTACCGCGGGCAGAGCGTGCTGCTGACGGGCGGCTCGGGCTTCGTGGGGCGCGTGCTGCTGGAGAAGCTGCTGTTCTACTGCCCCGACATCGACACCGTCTACGTGCTGCTGCGCCCCCGCAAGGGGCTCTCGGTGCAGGAGCGCCTGCACAAGCTGCTCGACGTCCCGGTCAGCACCACACACTAATTTAATATTTGAACCCCACTTCATGGCTCTGTAGCATTTTTTCTGAAATACCCAAATATTACCGGGTAGACAATTGCGTGCCCAAAGTGTTCTCCTGGAATTACATTGCCATTAATGGTTCTGGTATCTAGCAATAGTTTGTGTGTTGATTTGTCAAATGAAAAACGGTTGTAGTATTATAGTAATATACATGTCATATTAAAGGAGATACTATTTTAATATATTCATTTGAAATATTTATAAAAATTAAGATGAATATAAACAAAATAAACTTAGTATTTACGTCGTAGAAATATTAAAATATAATTCACATCGTTACTATACGAGGGTTGCCTTTTATATTTCAGTGTTAGAGAACAAAAACGAATATTAATTATCGAAAATCACTTTATTGTTTTTCAAAATATTCCCCATGAAGATCTATACACTTTTGCATGCGTTTGAACCAATTGTCGAAGCACTTTTCCCACTCTGATTGAGGTATCTCCAAAACATGCATTCTGAATGCAGCAACAGCTTCTTCAGTTGTCGAAAAACTCTTGTGTTGACTTCTCGGTTTGTTTTTTACGTACGGGAATAAAAAGAAGTTATTTGGTGCCAAGTCAGCACTATACGGCGCATGACTCATCAAGTCGATGTTTTGGGTGCTCAAAAATGCAGTTGTTTGAGCTAATGTGTGAGAGCTCGCATTGTCGTGGTGAAGAGTGATCCGTCTTCGGCGGTTGGTTTTCCTGATTTATTGGAAGACAGCTGGCAAACAAATCGTTGTGTACCACTCAGTATTTGACTATTCTACGTTGTTCTAGTGGTACGGTTGTGACATGTCCATTTTTCCGAAAAAAAACAGGCGACCATCTGTTTGGAAGTGCTTCGTGCGCGAACAACTTTTGTTGGATTTTGCTCATCTTGAAACACCCATACAGTCGACTGCTGTTAACTTTGGGGCTCATACGGGTAAATTCACAATTCATCACCTGTCACTATGTCATTGACGTGTTTCGAAGCACCGCGATCGTATTTTTGAACATTTCTTTCGACCAATCGACACAAGCTTTTTTTGAGCGATTGACAAATTGTGTGGGATCCAACGCGAACACATTTTTTTGACAGTCCAATGTTCATGCAATATTGAATGTATGCTGGTCTCACTAATGCCTAAGGTTGTCTCAATCACACGATAGGTCACATGACGATCTTGCAATATCAGTTCACGCACAGCATCAATGGTTTTCGGAACAACAACTGATTTTGGACGACCTTCGCGAAATTCGTCTTGGAGTGAACTACGACCACGATTGAATTCACCATATCATCGATAACCACTGGTCCTTGATGGAGCTTTATTGACAAAAATTGAATTAAGTTCTTCCATGCACTGTTGCCGAGTTTATCCACGTTGAAAGTTGTAAAAAATAATCGCACGAAAATGTTCACGACTTAATTCAATTTTTGGGCCAAAATGAAGCTTTTAAGTTACTGTATACAACACAAATAGCGCTCGTATGTCAAAACGTTGAGAACGTATAACCCATGGTTTTTTCAAAGGTGGATTTAATATTTCCTTTTTTATGAGGTGAAGCCTTCCGTTAAAATTACTTCTTAAAACTAGCTAACAACTAACTTAAGTTCAGCCGTACAGGTCAGAGTTCGCCCTTCGAAGCACGGCGATGCCCTTCCCGGCGGTCACGACCCCGGTTACGGGAGCGGTGGCCCTTCGCCCTGGAGCTTGGCGCGGTGCGGTCGGAGGCGGCGCGGTCAGGCGATGGCTGCGTCTCGCCTCACCCCTTAGCCCATTAGCAAGGCGATCGGGGCGGCAGGCGGCGAGGTGGCGACCCGGGCGCTAGCAACGCCAGGTCCGGGCATCGGCAGCGTGGTACACGGCAGCGGTGATGCGCCTCGGCCCGTCGTTAGTCCTGGGCTCGAGGTCATTGTCACAGTCATTGCCCTGGCGTTCGTCCTTGAGTTAGCGACCCCAGAGGTGACCCGCGATGTGGCGATGATGCATTCGGGGGCGGTGCGGTAACGCATTCACTGCCTTACCCCCCGAAGCCAAAGAAACTCGCCCTCGTCCCCACCTCGGAAATGTACTTCTACTCGCTGTCGCCTCCTCTATCGGAATGGCCGAGCTTGTGTGTTGCAACTACCTCCTCAGGTTCGCGGGGTAACGTGGCTCTCCCCCGCATCGTTTTCCGCGATTGGCAGGCACACGTCACGCGGTTTCTTCCCGCAATCGGGGGCGTCATTGATGATGTTTGAACCTCGTCAAAATCCGTCACCCGGGTTCCAAGTACAGGCGAGCTGAATTGCTGGGTTATGAGAGAGCAGCGTCCGTATTTCCCGGTGCGACCGTCCCATGCGTCCCCGTGCGACCGTCCCATTACAGTGTCTTTAGTGTTAAGTTAAAAAATATATATACAAAAGTAGAAATATTATTTCCCATATAATTAGGTGTATTTATTCATTAGAATCATTTGCTTATCATCTCAGCCCGTCATTTACTGTGCTCTTCAGTGTACATTACACGTGGTGCGTGCATTGCAGGTTGCGTAATGATTTTGTTTGTAAATAACACTCCATTCCCACCCACCCTTCTTGGGATGTCTTACCTCCACAGTATTACTTTCCCCATTGTAATATCCCAGTAATAATGTATATTACGTTTTGTTGAAAATACAGTTTACCCCTGTGGAAGAGTTAAGCTTCAACACGATCACACTTACACATACATCCATGAATTGATTGTCCAACAATATGTATATTTTTGAGGCAATGTTTACACCAACAATGCGATAAATAATAGCATTATATTTAAAATTAATTCTATTTATTTTAATTTGGTAGTTCACTTAGATCAATTAATAATAGAAATCGAAAGACAAATTTTACACAAAAGGTATGGGAAATTGTCCTCTTTAAAATTGATTTGGATTTTTTAAATACAGAACTTAAGGTTACAGAATTATAAAGAAGAAGAATAAAAAATTAAGGTTTTTAGGACTTAAGATGTTAGTGCAGCGTCTGTGAGGTCGAAAAGTTTTGATTCTAACTAGTGCCTGCGCTCATAAAACAAAGATAAAATGTATGAGCTTTATTCAGGTGACGCCCCTTTCTCCATACTTGCCGACTAAATGATCAGCCAGAAGCAGCGCCGGGTGGGTTCGAGTGGCTGACGCGCGCTGTTGTGGGTGTTGCGCAGCTGTTCGACGGGTGCGCCGCGCCAGCGGCCGGAGGCCGTTGGGAAGCCTGCAGGCGGTCGGAGGGGACGGTGCGAGCCCGGCCTTCGGCGCTGGCGGGAAGGCGGACGCGCGTCGTGCTGCGGAGGCGTGTCCGTGTGTTCCACCTGGCGGCCAGCGTGCGCTTCGACGCCCGCCTCATTCACGGCCGTAACGCTACCAACGCGTGCCCACGCGCGACCTGCTGGAGCTCGCCACGCGCATGACCAAGCTCAAGGTACGCCCACCCACTGCTCACTCGCGAAGAGTCGACGCTCTTAGCTGCATCCGTAAAGGAAGGTATTGCAATGCTGCAGCACAAAGTGAACAATTTTTGTCAGACAAACTCAAATGGGGGGCCGTGTCAGAATCCACGTTAACTGAGTCCTTGATTCCCGAAAATTGATTCATCTGTGTGTCTGTTCGTCCCTCCGTTCATTCACCCGTTTGACTGTGGTCAGCACTAAGCACCTAAGCCGTTCAGATGATATCTTCCAATTGACATTCACTAATCAATGTTCCCGAACGGTCCTGAGAATTAGAAACGGATATTTTATATTTTGGGGAGTTGTATTTCATTAAGCCTTAACGACACTTTCTAAATTGTCTTGAAATTTGCTCCACATTTTGTATTGCGTATTGCTAAGTGCGCTTAAAAACAACGTGGCGTAGGTCTCATTTTCGGTATCTCTTCAAACGTTCCAAAAATTGCAAAAGTTCAAATATTTTTCGGCGCCTTCAAGCGCAACTGCAATATTGAAGAAAGATTTTTACTTTATCGAACTGACTTCGTAAGACGAGAAACGTATTTAATCGTGCGTCGGAAAACAGCCAATTTTCGGCAGAAAAACTGGTAAAATTTTGATATTAAATTCACAGTTGAAAATGAAAAAAAAAATCATTTTCTTGACCTTAAAATAAAAAGTGAAAACAGTGTGCTGACTACAAATTGGTATAGGAAGATCACGTACAAAGAAAAATACTGAATTACATGTCGCCTCATCCTTAAACCCAACATAACTGTAATACGTATACAGATTTGTAGATAGAGTGAACCTTTTGTCAGATAATAAATACATAAAACAGAATATTGAAATGGTATAGAATATTTTAAAACTCAATAATTACCCTAATAAATTCATTAAATACATAAAGAAAATACTAAATAAATATAAATTAAATGTAAACGAAGAAGATAAAGAAAAAAATCAACAGAAAAACATTGCCATACCTACTGAAAATTACCAATAAAGTAGACAAATGGCTCAAAGACAAAATGAAGATCAACACTGTATATAAAATGAGTAACAAATTTAAAATTTCAAAAAATCACAAAGACAAAATTGATACTAAAGACAATGAATATGTTGTGTACAAAATATGCAATGATTGCGATATGAAGTACTTAGAACAACAAAAATGAAACTACAAAAGAGGATAAGTGAAGAAAGGAAAAATATTAAAGAAATAACAGTAAAACAACTACATTACGAAACTTGAATTAAATAACAACATAATATAAATTTTGATCACAAAAAATTATAGACAAAGACAAAGAAAGGTACCAAGATTAATTTCTGAAACAGTGAATGTTTTGCTTCGATAATATCTTTATTGTCAAGCAGATCATTGAGAAATAGAGAATTTAATAAAGAAACATACATGCTCTTCATAGATTACTCAAAAGGTTTCTGACACAGTAAACATAACTATATTATTATTTAATGCATTGCATCGTAAAGGTCTTCCACCACAGCTTATTTCCGTCATTAGGAACATCTATAATCACTAAGAAATTTGTATCAAGGACCAAGAGAATAAGGAAGAGATAATAAGCCAAGGAGTAAGACATTGGATGTTGTCTATCCCCTCTTCTTTTTAATTTATATTTAGATGAAGCATTATGTGGATATCCAGACGAAAATCTTATAGTCATGATATGGGAAAAGAAAGAAACCTAATTACCATATTATTCGCGGATGACCAAGCTTCTAATAGCAAATGATGAATATATCCTCCAGATAGCACTGTTTTAATTACAAAAGGTAAATGAAATGTACAATCTCTGCATATCTTCTACAAAAGTCATGATCTTTAAAGGGATGGAACCGATTGGATTCAAATTAGTCGTATGTAATTCACCTATAGAGCAAGTTTAAAGTTTCAATTTCTTGAGATACAAAATGCCATACAGAGGGGAAAATTGACAAATTAAATCGTAAGAACGGAAAAATACTGAGATCCTTGAAAAAGAAAGTCAGAAACGACACTGAGATTAAATTCTATACGGTATTAAGTTTCCCAGCATGTTTATATGGAAGTGAAAACTGGACAATCTACAAAGTGCTGAAACGCGATTTCTTAGATCAGGGGGTGGTTACAAGCTTATGGACAGGAAAAGGAATTTAGAAATTAATAAAGAACTTGGGGAGTTCTCAAGAGAAAATCAATTACTACCAAAATTCTTGGACCCAGCACATTGAAAGGATGCTAAACAACCTCCTACGGAAAGAATTCTACAATACCACCCCCAAGGACGAAGAAATCCTCACCGCCCGAAGAAGAGATGGGGTGACCTGACGGGAACGGAGGTGTAACAGGCTGTGCCTATATACCTGAAGGAGAAGAAGAGAAGAATGAGAACAGTGAATATGAAAATAAAGAAAACTATGAATACGATAATTGATAGTACGGAAATGACATCTAAATTCGATAACGTAATTTATGTTCTAAAACGGGGCAAATACCAAAGTTCTTATAAAGCACGAAATTATAGAAACTCCGTGAATCGACCGCCAAGCTCTTCTGCTCCCAACAAGACCCCACCAGAGGTGACCTCTCTCAGTGTTCAACACCACGTGATTGAAAAAAAAACGGACTCTCATAAGACGTTCGAGAAGATGAAAGAAAGCAGTACCGCCGCATTCGAACAAAATGTAAACTATACAAAAGTGAGCCAGATAGTTATATTTTGTACCAAACAAATTGGTATAAATAATTGTAAAATTAAGTAATGAATTGCGATATCTATTTTATTAAACAATTAAAAAATATCAATAAATAATTTAAAAACAAGAGTGTTCATTTTATGACCCATAACTGCTTACCGATAACAAATTAAAAGGACGCAACTTCAATGAAAACAGAAAAATAATAATTTGAAAACAAAAAAATCGTATTGCCGGGTCCTGGTTACGAAAAAGTGGATAAATCCCGTTCCTTCATGTATTAAGTGGGATCCTCTAACATAAGGAGTAGCCAGAATTTATATTTTGTGGGTTATTAATATCGAAAAATGTATTGACGGCAAAAAGTTTGTCTGTCCGTCCGTCTTTGGACAAAGCTAGCACTTTGACCGTTCAGTCACTTTTCTCCGAAATTGATATTCGCCGATTGATCTGAAGGAACTCGAGGATTTGGGAGTTTCAACCGGATATTTGATTTTTGAGGGTACTTTACATGAAGCCTTGAAATTTTTTTTCTCAAAAATGGCACCCAATGTTTTTAATACATTTTGTTCTCAAGTAGCGTTAATATCGTTTAAGAGAGTGGTACCGGACTCATGTTCGTCAACATCCCATATTTAAAACAAAATTGCAAACGTGCATCTTTTTGGGCGTTTCCCTACAACTATAATGTTGAATATAAAATGTTTTAATGAAATATGTTCCCTAAAGATAGATCTTGAAATAAGGGTCATGTAAATTTTTCGTTGATATGAGTAAATTACGTGTAATCGTCCGAAATATTATGCATTTTTTAACATTTTTTTCTCTAAAGCGGTACTAATTTTTTCTTTAAATTTTCACGTCCTTTGTAATACGGAACGATAAAAAATATGGTGCTAGACTCATTTTTGGCAAACTCTCCTTACTTTCAAAAATTTCAAAAAGTGATAATTTTAAAACAACAAAATAGAAGTTATATATTTTTGCCTTAGACAAAGTGTGGTCCAAAAAATCATCTGTTTAAAAAATACTACGGTTGTTGTTCTTGCACGGAGAAATGAATTATTTTTATGCATGACGGGGGTGGACCTTTATTTTGAAATGTTGCTGGGCGTGTGCGGGGTGCTGTCCCAGGCCTCTGACCGCGAGGTCGTGGGGTTCTAGTCCGGACGGTGGCAGGATTGCCAATGCGAGCCTCGAAGCTGCGTCGAATTCAGCCATTGCCTGGAGAGTTCCAGTTGCCGGTTGCTCTAATCGGTAGTATTTTATGGTTTCTCCAATCAACATCAGACGTACCCTAACACAAGGGATACGGACCGCGCGCGATCTTTCTTTCCTCTTCCTTACCCTAACCTCTTACTTACACACACGTACTCTGCCACACATGTGCAGCACTTAATGCTTTTCCCGTTCAAAATAGTGCCCTTATGGGGGAGATTGGGGGAAACGGACTTGTATGTAGGCCGACGGGTAGCCGCAGGCGCTGGATTTCGCCATCCAGCGTGGGAACTTTACCGCCAACTCCCGCGATAAAAACATACGCTTACGGAACTAACGATCTTAGCAGTTGACGCACCCGGAAAGAGCAATCAATCTTGTGTCGCAGGCGTTCGTGCATGTGTCGACCACCTTCTGCAACGTGGGCCAGCGCGAGTTCGAGGAGAAGCTGTACCCGGCGGCGGGCGACTGGCGCTCCATCCTGGCGCTGGTGGAGGCGCAGGGCCAGAACGACCCGGTGGCCCTGCGCGCGCTTACCACCAAGTGAGCACAGCCCTCAAGCACACGACGTGGCTCTTTCTCTAGTACTAAGTAGCCTATTGAAGAAAGATCTATGCCGAACCAAACCACACAAAATAGCACGCACAATGCTCTGCGACAACGAATAAAATACTCCCGTACAGTATTGCAATCATTCAAATATTATAACAAAAAGTCTTCACGAAAACTGAAGAAACATAGTCTAGTACATACTAATTGACAGTACCTCCATTTTTTGCAAACCGTGGATATCAAACAATTTACTGATCCATAATGTATCACGCGAATAAAAAAATATTTAATGGTGGGCAGTCTCCTACTTATAACCTTACTTTTGCATGTATAGTAAACAGAGTTGCAATTAATATGAAAACTCAGTCGGAACGGATGGTTTGAGAATCGGGGGAATCACGCATCAAATATGTGCATCTGTCTGTGAAAATTGAAATCCTTATTTTACTTTCATTACGTACGTACGTACGTCTCATACGTAGCATAGGGAAAGTTATTTAATGCTGTGGCAAATCGACTTCGAGATTTTAACGGAAATACACTTTTTGAGGTCCCGTCCGTCTGCCTCTTCGTTCGTCAGTGAACAATACCATCTTTTTTCTTCCAAAATAAATATTCCACGATCGATCTGACCCGACTCAAGGCTGCAAATTTGAAACGAATTCTTTGAAATTTGAGGAGCTTCACATGAAGCTCCGGTTATTTTCAAAATTTCCCCCAAACCCTCCACTTTTTACTTTCCTGTATAGGTACGTATATACGAAAAATAACGTTTCTGTATACGTACGTATTTAGGGAATGTTATGCAATGCTACGATCGATTTCAAGATTTCAACGAATAAAACGTTTTGAGGTTCCCAGATGAAACTGAACACACTGAAAAAGGTTTTTTTTAAAACGTTCGTCCGTCAGTGAAAACCTCTAACGTCTAAACCATGCGTTGGAATTTTTCCAAGTTGACGAAATCCCTGTCTATCAGACTCGACTAGAAGTTTTCAGAGTTTGAAAAACATTCGTTAAAATTTGAAATTAAAAACATTCTCAAAAACGGCTTAAAATTTTTTCTTTCCATTTGTTGTAAGAATAGAGTAAAATACACTTATAAAAGTGGCATAGGACCGATTTTTACGGTTAATTCTGAATTTTCGAAAATTTCAAAAGAATGCAGTTTTTGGCGACTTCCTACAACTACAAAATTGAAGTTAAGAGGTTTTTCCTTCCAATAAAATTTGTTTTTATAATTGGTTCTTTCATTAAGGTCATGTACATTTTTTTGAAAAGTTTGGCCGTTATCGCGTAATATGTGTAATTTTAAAATATTACAAAAATATTTTCTCGAAAACGGCTCCAAATTTTTTCTTCGCCATTTTAGAAGGGATAATGCTAAATGCTCTATAAGATCACGTAAACACCATATTGTTCTATTGTTTTTTTAAATTACAAAAATATAATGAAATGTAATGTAAAATGTAAAATTCGTTTCTGAAAATGCGGAATTTTGAGCTAGTTTTTACAGAAAACGGTTGAGTTTTCGAAAAACTTCATATGACATTACTTAAACTTTATATGACTACTCTTTAAGTAATGTCATATAAACTACTAAATAAAAAAACAACTGTATATGACCTTAAAGAACTCACTAAAGACAACAAATTTTATTTGAAGAAAAAACATATATCTTTAATTTTGTAGTTGTAGGAAGACGTGCATAATTCAAAGTTTTGCAATTCAGATTTCAACTTTTGCGAGTTTAGAGATAGCCGTGAAGATCGGACCTATGCCACGTATATAAGAGTATTTTATGCCATTCTTACCAGAAATTTAAAGATGAAGTTTGCAAACCGTTTTGGGAAACATTTTGAAAATGTTTGGGGGCTTTATGTAACCCCACATTTTGAAGATATATTTTCAAAATTGCGGCGCTGAGAATTGATTCAGAGCAACCGGGTAATATTCATTTTAGAAAATATCGTACGTAAGGTTTAGGCGCTTATGGTGTTGACAGACTAACACGAAGAGACGGGCGGATGTTTTGAAAAAAACTCTTTTTCGGTATCAGGGGACCCCAAAACGGTTTCTCATTAGGTTCGCTTGACCCCTTGTGGGGTCTCTTCGAACTATGGGCTTCTGGTGGGTTGTTTTGTGCTTTAGACTCCCCTCCCCCGGGGGCCGGGGACGGGGACGGGAATCCAGGGTTTGGGTTGTTAGTAGACAGGTTATTTTTATGGTCAGAAGGGTTGTTTTATTAGGGTAAGAATGACGGGGGTTGGGAAGGAGACGGGCATTGATGGGAAGGGGATGGGGTAAGGGAAGGGGGTAAGGAGTAAAGAGGCGGCGGAGTTGTATTCGACGGCTACTTCAGCTGTGGCAGACATTTTTGCAGTTTGTTGTCAGTTCGTTAGTCGTTTGTTTGCCCTCTGGCTTAGGTGATAGCAGGGGGATTTAGAATAATGTATATGGGATACTTTTTCGGGTGTTGGGGTAGGTTTCTGAGGTTGTGATGGTGAGGAAGGGTTAAAGGGTTGTTGATGTACTTTTGTATTTGGTTTATTGCGGAGTTGTGGAGGTATGCAAAGATGTGGGTATTTTATTTTGGGATCGTTTTGAGTTGTAGATGGTATACATGGATAGGCGGAAGATGAGGCGGATGTAGTAGTTTTTCTACGTGGGTTTATTTTGTGCTGTTAGTGTGGGATATAGCGAATCCGGTGGGATGAGCTTATGATAGGATGGGACGGATATACGAGTTTGAATTTTTCTCTTAGTTGGTATTGAGGGAGTGGTGAGGACGCGGTATAAAGTATTGGTGATCCTGGTTCCTTTGACGGTAATTTTGTGGATGTGGTGGGACCAAAGGAGCCTGCGGGAGATGGGTAGGACGAGGTAGGATATTTCTGGTGTCCAGGGGATTGTTTCGTTTGCAATGGTTAGGGGACGGAGTTGGATGGTTTTGTTTTGTAGGAATACAAAATGGCTTAGGATTTGGATGGGTTTATGATAATGAAGTTTTGGGAGGCTTAAAGGGATTAGGGAGGTAGGATAAGGATTGATTTATGGAACGGAAGGATGCTAGGAGGACAAGGTCGTAGGCATAAAGGAAAGTTTGTACTCATGATGTTGGTGAACCGTCTTATATAAATGGAAAATAGGATAGGGGATAGCACAGGGCCCTGCGCGACGCCGGCTTGGATTGGGTAGTTGGGAGAGGTTTTGGATGTGGAACATGCGACTACTTTGTAGTAGGGCGTTGATATGATCGTGGATATTTGGTCGGATTTTCATGAGAAGGATTAGGCGGGAGACAGTGTCGTAGGCTTGACTAAGGTCGGTGAAAATAGAAGGGATTTCTTTTCTATTTTGGAGTCGGGGGACTATTTTCAAGGACATGTTGAGGGTTTGGAGGGCCGCGAAGCGATCCTCACGGAATCCAAATTGCGTGGTGTTTATGATGAGATCGAGGATAGATGTTAGGCGGAGGAGGAGGATTTTTTCGAATATTTTACTTAGCATAGGTAGCCGATAGATGGTAGTCGTTACATGGGAGCCGATGATCCTTGACGGGTTTGGGGATCATGGTAACGAGAGCGATCTTCCAGACGTTGGGGAAGTAGGGCAGTCTGAGGCAGGAGTGCAGGGTGAGGGTAATCAGATCTATAGCGATTTTTGTTAGGTAGGTGAGTTGAGAGAGAGGACTCCATCGGGTACGGCATATCTTCTTCTTCTCCATTTCAGGGATTAGGCAGAAGTGCCTGTTCCGTCTTCGCTCTGCACTTCAGACCATCTCTTTCTGGGTCGGGCATATCTCTTCAAATTCCCTTCGGTTGGTAGTTATCACTAATTGTGGAATCGATTCTTCCTCCATTTTTCGATATGGCGGGCCGCCATTCTTTCCCCTGTTTTCTACGAATCCTTTTCATTATGTTGTTTACATCTAGTTCTGTACGGATGTTCCTCATTTCCTAACTGGTCTTGTTTAATGCAGCCTTTAACTTTCCTAAGAAAATCTGCATTTCTTTGCTGCTTGGAGCTTACTTTGCTCTCTTTTTTTCAATTATCCACGATTCCCTTCCATACAGGGAACTGGAGCAGCATTGTCTTATAGAACTTTATTTTTGGTCTTTCCTTGCTTTGTTCTTGTAGTGTTCTGTTTATTATTCGCAACATATTGATTGAAATTTATTAGTTTTTTATTTTCTATGTCCTTTTATCTGTGTCATAACTGATGTCACAACCAAGGTAATTAAAATTTGAAGTCTGGTCGATCACTGTTGTCAATAACTATTTTTGAACATATGGGGTATTTATGGCATATTTACTGCAGTATCTCGTCTTGAATATTTGTTTCACTTCCACGTCGTTCGTCGTCCATGTCGGGTGGAAGGGGTCAAGTGTCAAGGAAGTTCCAAAGAACACTGTGTGGGATTGTAATGTTGGGGGAAGGAAGCGTTCGGCTAGGGATTGGACGAAGATATTAGTGATAGTTTCGAGATCAAAGGTTATAGGGTGTTATTGTTGGTTAGGATAGGGGATATAGGAGTGGGGTGGTTCCAGACTGCTTTTATGACTTTGTGAGTGTTATTGGGGCTGCATTTGCCAGATAGTAGGTCGTCATACTTATGAGTCTCGTGATGTTTCAGTGGGTCGTATTAGTTTCTGTGTCATTTTTAGTACTCGTTTGTCCTCGTTTCGTCTGTATTTGTTGTATTCTCTTTGAACTCATCGCATATGTCGTATAGTCGTGAGGATTTCGTCAGGGAGGGTGGGGTGAACATTTCTGGAATAGGATGTGGTTTTTCGGTGTGTGTTATGTTGTGGATTAGGTGATCTATGGAGTTGTCTATGTATTGGGTGGTGAGGATATCTGAGGAGACGTAGATTTTCTTGAACAATATGTTTCAATTTTTCCAGTCGGGTTTTGGCATTGAAGGGGGTTAAAGAAATATGTACTTTGGGGATGTGAAGCAGGTGAAAACTCTTGAGAGGTGGTGAGATAAGTCGTAGAGTTCGTATTTTAGTTGGGGAATGGTTATTAGTATTTGGGAAGAATGGAGAACAATATCAAAGATATTTCTCCATTTCTCTATTGTTAATACTGGAAGCGTAACAAATACATATTCATGACTAGTATGAAGTGAGCAAAGAGTGATTTACAATACGTTGTGATATAGAAAGTGCGCCATTAATACGTATTAATAGGACAAAGATGAATTTCGTGGAGTGAAGCACTACGTGTGTGGCTCAGAGCGGCCCAGGAGCCCAACTGAAGATTGCGAACGTGGCACGAACGTTGGTCGGCCGGTCGCCTGGGACAAGAGCCAAAGTTCCCACGACCTGGTCCGAGCGGCTTTCGACAATATTGAAGAGTCATAGAATACAGCATGGAATATAAAATGTGAAATGTACCCGACTCGTGGCCGAGAGTGTGCAATTGAGTGCCCAATATATAAATTAAAATGTTCAGAATTGCAACGAGTTCCTACAGGAAATATGGAGCGCCTTGAAAATGATGAAGATTGTACCACTAATTCTAGGTGCCACTGGTGAAAATCCTACGTTCCTGCATGATTTCCTGACTGAACTGCAACTGACCATGGGGTTATACATATCGCTTCATAAGATTGTTAGACTAGACTCCTGAAACATAGTGACGTTTCTAAACATTGATCCAGTGCTGATTATGACAGTTGAAACGTGTATCTTTTGTTCATGGTAGCCGAGTTAGACGTGTGGAAGAAAATTAAAATGAAATATAAATAACAATAATAATAATAATAATAATAATAATAATAATAATAATAATAATAATAAAAATTTATTAACGTTCGGTAAACGATGCAAACTACGAATAATAGATTTGAGATTTTAGTTTTTCTAAGAAAAAATATAGTAACCCATTCCTCTGGTTCTACTCCTAACACAACTAACCAAAGGATAGCTCAACAAAACGTCCGCATAGTAAAACTACCTTTGTTTAGAATTTAATGAAATTCAGCATAGTAATAACTAATTTTATTAGCCTGTAAAATTGCTATGAAGACTTACTTTGTTCTACACATACGCTATCTAAAAGACGTTTCTTTATGATTTTAGGATTCTGGGTCCATACTGCAACACATACACATTCACAAAGAACCTGGCGGAGCACATCGTGGACCACTACTCGGACCGCCTGCCCGTGGGCATCTTGCGGCCGTCAGTGGGTAGGTGTTGCGCCTGCGGCCTCGGTGCTTCCCGAACCACCTGCCCTTTAACGTTCGTCTCTGAACAACAATTCTTGACACCTAGTATCAGCGAGTTTTAGTGGTAGGCATAAAGTGATATCCTTAAACTCTATTGGTCACGTCACTATTACCGTTATGACTGTATGAAAAAAAAACGTTAAAAAGAGCTTTAGCAATTGCTACAGTGCTTTATGCGTAATAAAGAACAATTTCAAGTGTTCAGGGATTACGCCTCGCGAGAGCCCGTGAAGCTGTCTTTACGAAGGGAAAATAGTAAAAGTAATTTTTAAATGGTTCCAATTAGTACATTTTTAGCTCGCAAAAACTGCAACGTAGACCTGGGGATGCAAGATGGCGGGACATCGGTAACGATAACGACAAAGCACAATAATATTAAATCACATGGAAATTAAAAATGATATTTGCCACGCATGCAAATCAGCGCAAAATACGAAAAGGAGAAAGACATTTCGTAAATTGTAGGAAGAGGAAGTTATGTACTATAATAAAGATTATAGTCCAATGAAATAAAGAATGGGAAAAGTATATATCATCATGATTAGAGGGCAGATTTTCACTATGTATATTTTTTTCCTTATCACGATAGAACAATGCCGTTTATAATATAAATTATATTTATGTTGTTACAAAAATAAATAACCAATTTTTATATGTAATTTTTTACATTCTCCTTTACGTGAGTATATACAGACTTATATGTAAGAAAACTATAATGCTGCGAGAAAATCGATTTTGATTTCAACAAATATACACGTTTTTGGATCCCCTGACACCGAAAAAGAGTTTGCTTTTTCAAAACGTCTGTCTGGCCGTCCATCTGTCTTTCCGTTCAACTTTCCGTCCGTCCGTCCGCCTGTTCACACAAACACTCTAGAGCCTCAACGCCTAAAATTATTGGGGATACATTACATTAAACCGTTCTGACAATTTCAAAATTGTCTCTAAAATGGCTCCACATTTTTTGTTTAAAGTTCTTTTAACATGAGAGTAAAATACACTTATAAATGTGCCATAGGTCCAATTTTCACTATTAACACTAAATTTTCGATAATGGCAAAGTTAAAATTTTTCTGCGTCTTCCTGTAACTACGAAATATATATTTTTTCTTCAAATACAATTTGTTGTCTTTAATTAATTCTTTCAATAAGATCATGTACATTGTTTTGATAATTTTACTAGTTTTCGCGCAATATTGCGTGCATTATATACAATTTTAAAACATGACATAAACAAAGTTTATTAAAACCGCTCCAATTTTGTTTTTTAAGCATTTGGTACGGTTCGTGCTCATTGCAATCTATGAGATGACATAAACATCAGGTTGCTTAATCTTTTGTTTTTTAAGAATTACAAAAATGTAATTTTTTGACTTGTCTCTTACATAGTTAATATTTTCATTTGCGGCAATTTGTGTACATTATTTTGCTTATAAGTAGAAGTGCGTTATATAATTACATAAGATTTTCTGTAAAACTCAACATTTTTCTGTGAAAATGAGCTTAAATTGCCGCATTATCAGAAACGCTCAGTTGCCATTTCCTCAAAAACAGCTTTACACTGTTTAATGTGGCTCATAGTTTACTGCAAAGTATTCTTTGTTTTGTTGAAAATTATACATATGAATTTTTTTAATATATCTGAAGCCTTTAATATGCACATTTCCAGTGATTTGTAAATAATATTGCATTTGTCAGTTAATGTGTCTCAAATAACTTTAAATGAAGTTTTTCAATTTCTCAAAAATGTTCTGTGAAAAAGATATTCAAATTTCGCATTTACGGAAACGCTTAGATCACATTTTCTGAGAAACGGATACAAATTTTCCAATGAAAACTCCTATTTAGGGCTCTTCTTTAATACTCTTAAAGTAATATTTTGCTTCTACTTTTAGGAAAATAAAAAGTTGCGAAAATGTCATTAAATGTACTTTGGGCAGCGATAGAAGGCAACAGTATGGAGCAAGACCGTCAACTCAGTCCACACCAATGAAATTCGAAACCTTTACTACGAGAAAGTGTGTGTTACTCTGCATCACCACTAGTTACTTTCTTGTATACGTACGTATTATCGTAACGTACTTAAGAAATATCGTGATGTAAACAAATGCACGAGTTAGGATGATTCTCACTGGTTTGCAGTGTGAGCTCTGCTATTGTACGCTTAAGTAAATATTTCTCTGTATAAGAACTAACTAATCTGCCGTCGTTTGTAAATGAATCTTGCGTCAAAACTATTGGGACGGTTTCGGCAAAAGAGACAATTGTGATCTGACTGAGTGTTGCTTTGTGATAAGATTACGATCCTATGACTGTTTAGCCCATGACCGTGGGTCAGGCGCGTGGGACGCGGCTTGTAAAATCGTGGTAACACCGATCGCCCTGCGAGTCTCGTTTATTCAGTTCGTATAAGATTGTCTCAGAGTGTGACTGGCCTTTCAATAATTAAACACAAGTGTGGAAACTTTCTTCGGGTCAGCGAAAATCACTTAATTCTGAACATTTTCAATTCGTTATTGCATAGGAATCCGTCGTTACTGATGAAACAAATCGCAGAGTTCACTGGAATATCCTTATCCAGCTTATTCAAACTCCGAAAAGAGGTCACTAAAGTGATGAATACAAATTGCAGAGAATAAAAAACCTGTGATTGAAGCATACGAAGACTTTATAGTCAGTGCTGGTCAGTCAAAAGTGCATTCCTTTCATCAAACGGGCAAAAAGTGCAGAAACGAAACACCAATGTTGTGAATTTGTGATCAAGAACTTCCGAATTTTAGACCAACCAATTTATACAAATAATCGACATCTGGTTATTGACAAACACTTCCTGAAGCAGACTGATCCTAAGTAAATACTTGCATGAACATGACAGCTCTTACTCCATTTGAATTGGCGGGGTATGTGACTCGCGTCATCGAAAGTACTGGGCTAGGAGGTGTCCAATTAGAAGCGTAAAGCGACGCAAATATTTCTTCAGTTTGTTTACATCCGGTTTTTTCTTAGGTTGAACGGATAATAGCACAGAGAAAGTTATGTAATCCGGCGGAATATATATTTCGGGATTTCAAAGGATATGCACGTTTGAGGGTCCCCTGATTTTGAAACGCTTTTTTTTCAAAACATCTGTCTGTCTGTCATCTGTGAACAGCACTAGCGCCAAAACAATATGTAGATTTTTTCTAAAATGTACATCCACCGGTCGATCTGGTTCGACTAAAATTTGCACGATTTTGAAAAACGGTTTATTTCTGCGGTTACTTTACATTAACTCTGGGGACTTTTCTAAGAAATAGCGTCAATGTTTTTACTCTGTTGAAAATGACATAAAATTAATATTTCTGTATTTTTTGTTTTTTCAAAATTTACAGAAATGTATTTTTGAATGTCTATCACGTCTTTAATATACCCATTTTCAGCGATTTGTATACATTATTACATGTGCGAGTGGAAGCGCTTGAAATGACCGCCAAATAATATTCTTCGAAACGTCAAAAGATGTTTGTGAAAAAGAGATTGGAAATTCAATTTACAGTAATGCATAAACGTCTTTTTTAAATTAAAAAAAAGGCTCCAAATTTCTCTTCACTATGGATCTTTGACGTTGGCAGTGGAGAAAAGGTTTAATCCCCTCCTACTATTTTTGCATAGATATTTAGAATTGAATAATGTAGGAAAATCCTGTTTAATTTTCAATTATAATATTGGAAGAATGTGGGAATGATAGTTACAAAATAACAACAATGGGAACCTCTATTGCAAATATTAAAATAATACATTTTAAAGTATTTAAAAATAAAAGCTCGTCGTTTTTCTCATTCTTTAGTTGTCGTTAAAAAATTAACTTCTGAAATCTTATTAGGTTAGGACATGATCACCCACTATCAATTACTCGTTTCTTTTCATGATACGAAAACAATTGTTTAAAATCTATTGTACCACCTTTTCATTATCTACATCAAAACAATAACTCTAATTTCATAGGTATTGTTAAAGGCTGCAACGCGCAACGGAGAATATCGCAATCGCGGACGCTTGCTCACTAGCAAGCTGTCGAATCGAGATCCAACGCCTTCGCAAGCTTCGTCCATGAGCGGGGGACGTCGCGATGCGCCCAAAAGGCGTTGGACACATTCATTCACCAGCGGCCAGAGCTGCGCTTCCACTCTGCCTCCGTTGCATGGACGCGCTGTTGCCCATATACCAGTATGGCGCCGATTGAACGCAAGGCCAAAGAAATTAAAAAATCTAAATACATTCAAAGTTTTCTTTCATTTCGTTGGGTGTTGACACATGACTTGCAAGCCTAAAGAAAACGCCACCGCTGTACATATTCATTATTCGGAGAGTCGCGAGCGACTTTGTAACTACAATAAAGCGAGGTATTGCACGTAATGCTAGCCATCCCTTCAAGTAACAAGCTGGTAATAATCTTTCCAATCTGTAACTATGTTCTCACCATTCTGTTCTATCGTTTTAAGGAATGAATCGAGTTTTATTCCGTGCTAAATGCTTCCATCCGTCAGTGGTTTCAATTGTTTTTAGGAATAGTGTAGAAATATTGCTTTAATTTCTCAATAATCTAACTTTCTTCTGAATTTCTTCATGAAGTAGATGGGGCTCAATTCTTCTAGACGAAATATGTTCTCTTCAAGAGTCATTTTCTTTTTCACTTGTTTCTGCCGGAGATAGTTTCTATTTCAGTTTTCTTTGGCTAATTGGCATTTCTCGAGAGATCAAATTCTAGTTTACTGTTAAACTCTTTAATTTATGTGAAAGGTATATTTAATAGATAATGACAATTGTATGGCATTTTAAATTTTGAATGTATGGTATTAAAGATGCATGATTTTTTTTGCCGTAAAATATTTTATATATACAGTTGCAAAGAGAAGTGAAAGCGCAGTTCTCTTAAGTGCATTTTCTTCAGAAACAGTTAAAGTACACACTTAATGTTTTCTATGT